CAATTGATTGTTCATATTCAATTGGATAACAAACTGATATCCATACCATATTCTCGGTGCCCATAAATGCAATTCAATATNTTGGATAACAAACTGATATCCATACCATATCCTGCGGTGTCCATAACTGTAATTCAACATAAAAATTTCATCAAATTTCAAACATCTTACAATACTGATAACGATATGTATATCGTTATGGATTGCAGAAAATGATATTTAAGTCATTACATACAGAAGAAAATCAAATGTATATTTTACAGTAGCACAAAGAAAAGAATAGCCAAATATACATTTATTAACTTATATTTCACTCCAATTAATACAAAAAAGGGGCAGTGAGAAAAATGTCGGGAAGTAATCCATATCAAATCTCTAATCCAATAATAAAATGAATTCAAAATTGTTGTTGACAAATGAATACCATGAAGAAATGATTCAAAAAAATGAAGAAACAAAAGAACCCAAGTATTGAAAATTTATAATACCCTCTCTTCTTCTTCAAATGTCCAACAAGAATGTTGCAAGATTTTATTACCCACTTCAACCAAATGAGTATTCACAGGAACGAGAATGTAGAGTTTATTGTTTCATTAAGTAGAGAAAATGAAAAGGAATTGCATACATGTAGAACTGATTTATGTAGAAGAAATGGAAGTAAAATTCAATTAGGGTTAAATGGAAAATGAAATGGGATTTAAGACAATAATGTTTTTTTTGTATACAAGGACATTTTAGTCCTTTACAAATTGTATTTTCCATTTTTTATATATTTAGGTCTTCTAACTAAAAAACATGGATGTTGGACTTCTTAAACAAATGTTTGGTTTGACCAAGCCTTCTAAATGAAATCCCCTTATATTTTCTACCAAAAAGTCTCCGAAAGGCAAACAAGTTATAAATTTCCTAAAAGTCTTCTTGAAATTCTAAAAAATTTCAATCAAATATCTTGTGATTTTTAGCGACTTCTTAAAAGTCTATAAAGATCTCTATTGAATACATCTAAACTTTTAAAGAGTTTTTAAAAGTTGGAATTGAATACATTTAAACTTTTTAAAAGGAGTTCAATTAAGACTTTTAAAGGCTTTTGAAGATTTAAAAAGTTTAGAATGTATCCGAATTTATTTATAAAATTAAGAAATATCATTAGAAAAAAAACACCTTTGTAGAATACTAGGTATATTTGTATTGAAGAAATACTTGCAAAGTTCCTACTCATTGTTGGTTAAAGTACTCGACATTGCTTGATTCTTAAAAAAATTGGTTGATCGCATTTCACTACCAGCCAAAGTTTCAACAAAATTTTACTGACATTAAACAAGTTTACAGTAGTTATGGTAGTCAAACCGGGATTGATTGTGCCAGAAAAATATGGGAAAGTATGAGATTTTCATTAGTGTTCTCATTATTTGTTTGTATTGTTTTATTATTTTAGGATTGTATTGAAGCTATTGATGGTTCCAGCAATGGTAACTGGACGTGAAACAAGCATTTATAGAAATCGTCATGAAATAATTTTGTAGAATGTTTTGGCTGCTTGTAACCCTGATTTGAAATTTATATACATTTTTAGTGGTTGAGAGGGATTAACACATGATTTTAAGGTGTTGAGTAATGCTTTAACAAGGAGAAATTGACTTAAAGTGTCACAAGGTATGACTTTATTATTTCATTTTTTTCTTTTATCTTATTTTATCATAATTATACATGTCATAAATCACTTGCTAATTTTACAAGTATTTTATGTTCAAATAATTTTTTTTTTTTTTGGAGATTGTGGACTTCAAAATCAACAGGTTGTGACCCTGAAAATATAAAAGAGTTGTTTAATCTTCGTCATGCTTCCTGAGGAACGTAGTTGAGAGGATATTTGGTACATTTAAATCACGATTCACAGTTTTCAAAATAGCTTTTCCACTTCCATATCGTACACAGCTTGTATTAGATTGTGTAGGATTACACAATTTTCTTCATAAAGAGTGTCGTTCTGATAAATTTTTAGTTTAGTTGAACTTGATAATGAAGATTTTTTATCTTCTTTGATTCATGAAGGGGAAGACTTTGGACCACTTTTTGAAAGTCAAGATCAAGAAAGAGAGAATGTTAATACATGGAGGACTTTTATAGCAACTGATATGTGGAATGATGTTGGAAATGTTCATATTTTTTTGTTAAACATTATTAAAATAATATCAATTTTTTTGGGTATTTTGATTATTTGTTAATACATTTGATGTGACTTGAAATTTCTTTTAAATTTTTTTGATTGGCACGAAAAATATGATTTATTGCTTTGAATTTTTAATTATATGAGTTGTTGATGATTTTGTCATATAAGAAGTTGTTTAAAATATTATATTATATATGTGAGTTTTTAACATCCATAGAAATCACTTAAAATTCCACAAAAGTCACCAACTTAAAAAAAATTATAAAATTCCCAATTGAATACACTCCACTAATCACCAAATGTTTTTAAAAATCTCAACTGAATACATCCCATTTAGAGTTCAACTAGAGACTATTATAAATTATGTAATTTCAGACTATTTCTCCTTAGACCAAAATTTTATTACGTCAACAATCAGTTGTATTATCATTTAATTAGTCAAAATATGAGAAAAATATTTTGACCTTTGTTAGAGAAATGTCATATTTTGACTTTTGTTAGAGGAATGCAGAACCCCTCAATTATTTCCTAGTTCGACTATGAGAGATCTGTGCTGATATTAAGCCAGTGTTTGGTAAGGACTAAAATGTAAATTTTAATCTTGTTTTTAATAAAATTTACAATTTTTCAACCACACATTTTATCTGCTTTTATCAAAATTTACTAAAAATCTAATTTTAATTACCGTCACTAAATACTCATTCAATGATGAAATTTTTAATGTTTTATTTTTTGATTCATACTTCATAAAACGTTTTTTGAAAATATTAGAATTTTGATTTTTATTTCGAGTAGGAATGATAAACAAGTCCGTCGGCTCGAATAGCTTGGCCCGGCTCGAGGTTCGATAGAACTGAGTTAAGGCTCGAGCCAAGCCCAAATTTAGGGACTTGGCTCGAGCCTCGGCTGGTCTACGTGGCTCATTGTGCCTTACAACTTTGCTCGTTGACACCCCTAATTTCGAGAAAGGAGGAAAAGTGAAAGAAATCCATTTTTCTCCCATTTGACCTGCTTTTCCTTTTCTGATACAATTTCTATATAAAAAATTATTTTCAGCACCAAATAGGATTTAATAATTGAATTTTTTTCATTTATTGTAGGAGTGGATGTAGCGGTGACAAAAATGTCACATTGACATACAAATGGTAACTTGCACAAAAAAATAAAAATAACAATAATAACTTTAAGCATGTCGAGCTAAAAGGAGATGTCGTAAATTGAGCACCACAACAGCTTGAGCATAAAATTATGTGTCTAGCTAAAGGAGATCTAGAATCACCTTAAAAATGGACACGTGTCATTTTGACACAATATGGTCTGCACTGTTTAGTGTAAGGAGGCAGTGCGACACGTCTCAACTACGATAGCTGGTGCTAAAAACATTAAGTCTAAAGGAAGATGCTACATGTACATCATCTTTTTTATCTAATTTTTTACCTACACTCATAATAGGGCGTGGGGACCACACATTTGGGAGTTTTTTATTCACGCGGGCCCTGCTAACATGTGAGAGGGTGTGACGTTTTCGGTACAAATATAATTTTTCAAGTTTTAATATGTCGAGCTAATATGAGATTAGCTTAAAATTGGACTATGACATTCATACAAAATCTAATTTACGTGGAAAGAGTATACTATTTCTAGCCCCAACTATGATAATTTGTGCTAGAAAATTTTAATTTTCAATGCGTTGAGCTAAAACTACGTCTAAATGAGCCGAGCACGTTCTAACGCAATAACTTGTTCAAGGAAGCATTAGTTAAGCATGTCGAGTCGAAAAGTGATGTGCTCTTGTTCATTATAATGCAGATGAGTAAGTATCACGTGTGGATAATAAGTTAGTTGTAATTATGAATAAATGGTTAAAATTAATCACGTGTGCAAACATTATAAATTATTTATATTTTTCAATTATAATCAAATTGTAATTTAAATCATATATTTATAAATATTGTCAACAAAATTATTATTCAAGATTTTACACCAAGTATGATTCGAGATTAACCTATTTGTACAATATTTGATGACAATGTTGTTGATAATGTATGAGTGGTAAAAAATTGTTGGTTGAAAACTCAAGTTCGTTCAAACTGTACAATGATATATGCCACGTGGCATGTTATGAGTAGAGTTGTCATTCAACGCTGATGTACAACGTGATTCTTATTTGAGTTTTGATTTAATCTAAGATTATAATGAAATCCAAATAAGCTCCTAACTAGGTTTGGTAATTAGGGAAAAGACTAACATATCCTTTTCCCCCTTCTTTCTTCCCAAACAAGATCAGCACTCACGCATACACAATACGTATACACATATACTCTCTATCTGCGTGTGTATATGGGCTGAATTCTTTGCATAGAATTCATCAATGATTCAATTCTCGGGTAATGTGAAACGGGTTAGTGTTTGATTACTTGGGATTAGATTTTTCTGTAATCTATCGTGGTAATCACTTCTCTCTCTCCTTCCTATTCCCATCTGATTTAGGTTTTCCTTTGACATAAGGTATAAACGTATTGATTATGCATTGGGGTGTAAAATTATTATTTTCTGTTTTTTTTTGAGCTTGGGGCTTCTATGTAGAACACCATTCTATGCTGATCTTGCTTAAACCACAGGTCTTTTTTTTCCCCTACTTTGTTCAGCTTCATCCTTTTCTTTTGGGTACATAATACATATAGTTGTCCGTGTTTAAAGTATTGGTTACTGAAAATTTTGTAATTTTCTGGGTATTTTGTGATCTTTGGATAAAGAAAGAAAGCTTTGAATTTCAGCTTTTTAGGGTCTTTTTTTAAAAACAATAATTGAAGGTTCTTGTGGACACAAAATGGCGTTAAATCAAGAAGAAAATTTGTTTTCTGAAGAAAAGTTTGGGGATGGGTGTTCAATTGAGGAATATCGAAAAGGTAAAAATCTGGGTGTTGAGTTTAAACCCGAGAAGTCGTGTGAAGATATTTGTGATATCTTGCCTAACGATCCGTTTGGTATGGGGGTTACTCTAGGTTTACCTAATGATCCATTTGGTATGGATTTCAATATTGGCGCCACTGTCTTGGCAATAACGGGTTGGATTGAGGATGTCGAGAAGGATTTTGGGAGAAAGAATTCTGGGTTTGAGAGTGGTGAAGCTTCTGAGGATAAAAAGGACGATAATAAATTATTTTCCGAACTGAATTTTATTTTGAGCAGCTCCATGAAGTTTGAATTAGAAGTAGGAGATGAAAAGGGGGTTGATGAAAAGTCAGTTGATTCAGATATGGATTTGGATCATGATTTGTACGAACACCATTATCTGTTGGAAGGTAACATAGAGGAGTTGATATGTTTTGGATGTGAAAAATATTCATTATCGAGCGCTGAGAAGAAAGGAAACAAACTTGTCACAAATTATAATGATGGCAATGAAGGTGCTCCGCCAGATGCTTTGTTCTTTGCTCTTGGTTATCTCGGTGTGAGGGACCTACTTTCTGTTGAAAGGGTTTGCAAATCTCTGCGGGATGCTGTTCAGAATGATCCCCTTTTGTGGAGAGATATTCGCATAGATTACCCATTGAATGTCAAGATTACTGATGATGCTCTTGTGGGGTTAACAGACAGGGCTCAAGGTAGTCTTCGCAGCCTCAACCTTGTCGGCTGCTTTAAGATCAAGGATTCTGGTCTGAAAAGGGTGCTTGAAAAACATCCGAGGTTGACCAAGGTCTGTATACCATAAACGGATCTTATGTTACTTTATGTGCTGTCACCTATGCTTCATTTATTTATTTTCACTACATTTTTCTTTATTGTACCCTCTTTCTTTTCAATGTGTGCGTTCCTTTGTTGCCGGTATTGTACATCTATAAAAAGCTACTTGACTGGATGATCTATTTGCTATAATTAACTATAATTTTAATTGTATGGGAATTATGGAATTTAGAATTGTATCTTCTAGCTTGTTTTACCTTGACAACATTCTTGGTACGCAATATTAACAAGATTGGATGGACTAGAAAAGGAAAAATAAGTTAAAATCTTCTCTGTTGTATCTGCAGGAACTTATGCTTCATTTATTTATTTACTCTGCATTTTTCTGTTTTTTGCTCAAAACATTTTCTATGATTCTATATTATCATTGGTATTGTACATCTTAAACTAGCTGCTTGACTGGGTGATCAATTTGCTATGCTGGATAATATATTTTAATTATATCGGAATCGTGGAACATTGATTATGCTATACTATTTTGTTCAATTTTTGTTTTATTGATAGGTAGAAAGAAAGCACAGAACAAAGTCTTCACAATGACACGAGCCATACTGCACTACGGATAAAAGCCAATCCAAAAAATTAACTCCTTTTTTTCTGCATACTTTTCTTACGGAGAGTGGTTTAGGAGATTTTGTGTTGCAGTGCCAATAACAATCTCTTCAATGAAATGCGTGGGTCATTTATTATTGGGGCTTCTTCAAATTTAACTGTTAGCGCTTTGAATGCAATCATTTATATTGTAACCATACAAAATAATTACTGGGTTAGTGTAATCAGCATTTGTGGTTCTCTCTTTTCCTGTTTTGTAGACCTAAAACATGAGTTAGCCTAGCCAATGGGAAGCGAAGATTGTTATTTCTTGTGACACCCAATTTTTTCCTATTATCCTTCTCGAATTATTTAGTTCTTTCACATTTGGGAACTAATATGTTGCTCAGTAGATATTTTCTGTACTTGTTTGACCTCAGTTTTGTTCTGAATTTTTTTCTTTTTAAATTTGGAATCATCCAAAATATGTTTTGACCATTTTCTTAATTTTTGTTTAACCGCACTTATAGATTTGTTTCCTTGCGTATGCAGTTAAGTGTACCGGGATGCATTGGACTCAGCATTGAAGGTGTTTTGTCCAACTTAAAGTTCTTCAAGTCTTCTGGCAAAACTGGTATCGAGATTCTGAGAATCGGCGAAATTTGCAGTGTAAAGGATGATCAATTAAAAGATTTGAGGCTTTTATTGGGTGCAGACAAAGACAAACAGCGCACCGCCCACAAACCACATTTTTATCGTTATGGGCAGTTGTACCTATCTTTGGAAGATGAATGTGCAATTGATGTAGAAGCGTGTCCGAGATGCCAGCAAGTGAGACTGGTCTATGACTGTCCAGCCAAGAGTTGCCAACAAAGGCCGCACACCTCACAATCATGCAGAGGTTGCACTTTTTGCATTCCGCGTTGCATAAATTGTGGGTGCTGTCTAAATGATACTGATTACGAGGAGACATTCTATCTGGACTTGATTTGTCTGAATTGCTGGATGGATATCTTGAATTGTCAGGATAGAGCCATGCTTTCACCAAAACTCCCTTATATTCATCAGCAGGCAAGTTACAGCTTTTTCATCTACGACTGAATGACCTTTAATCTGTATATGGCTTCAGGCTATGTATGGCTATATATACATAATGGAGGCGTTACATTGAAGATTTTTTATAAGGTGGAGCCAAAAGGATAGAAATTGAAGTTTCGGTTGCAACTACTCGAGCTTATTCTTGTGTTTTGGAAGGTTTCAAGTGCACTTACTATTGCACCTTTCATGAAGTGGATTACATAGTACTTGACTGTATTATATATAAGGGGAAAAAAAGAAGTCAACTTCTTGTCCTTTGTACTATCTATACTACATAAGGGGTCTACACCAGGGAAAAAGTTGTGGAAGAGGGGTTGATTTAACATGTCAACTATGTCTTGAAGGATGGCCGGATGATATTAATAGTTTGATTATTGAGATGTATTGTCAATATCGCACAGAAAATATCAATTCTGTACTGTAATAAATGTTAATTTGGGATTCTTGTCTCGTCTTTCTTAGTGTGCTGTACTGCTGCATTTCCATATATGGGAAGAAGTTACAAGTTTTCTGAGGTTAGATTTTGCAGTCGTGGTTATGCTTATTTGTCTATGGAAAATTTGGATTTTTGACCGATCTTTTTGGGGTAATCTGTCAAGTCCTTTGCCTGCTCACATGAATGACATATTCAGTGAATACAAAGTGTACTTGCAGCGAGTTTTGGTCAAGCTTAAAAGTCAATTCAAACTTTTGCGTAAATATTCTTCCGACTAATGTTTGGACATATTATTTTCTTTCAAGTAAGACAGTTACTACTTTCTTATTTGAGAGTCGTGCGGGGCTACTCTCATGCCTATCTATGGCAGCAGCTTCAGGCTTTAAACAGTTGCATAATAAAAGCAGTTGAATTTTCATTTCTGTTTCTTGCTTGGGAATCTAGGATGGCTGGTCTTCTGATTTATCTCGTGTTAATTGATTAATTATTTTGATACTGAAGTAAGAGACTATCAAAATGAGTAAATTCTAAGCTATATCCTATCAAAATAAGTGGATCCTAACTTGCATCCGGAGAAAAATAAATATGACACAAGGCCGTCATTGGTCAAATATACTATGCTTGAGCATCTTGTATTCAGAAAAAGCTGTGAGCCCCTTGCAAACCTAAGAAGCCCTGACTATGACTGTTTATTCCACCATTAACGTATACTCAACACATTTCTTGAAAATATAGATGTAAACAAAAGTATGAAGTTAGTCGACCTTCGTTTTAGGTGACTTCTATAGATAATATCAATTGTGTTGTACCATCAAATGTATCAATCCTGCAAGTGAGAATATCTTGCAACTAATAGAGCGTCGTCTCACACAATCTCGAGATGAAGAGTAACATCAACGCATAACCCAATTAAAATAACCAATCCATCAATACAACAAAATTATCTTCGGTTGTAAATTTTTTTATTGTTAAAATTAGTGAAGAAAAGCTGCAGGACAGAAACGGACAAGCCCATATGGTATGTCGTCGACATTTCAGCATCTTATAGTTGGGTCATAGTCCTGGTACAAAGTTGAGAACACCAAATATATTATTTTCACAAAATTTATGAAAAAGGGGAATCGCATGTTCGATGAGTTTTCTTATTTTTCAAGACCAATGTTAGTACTTTTATTAGCTCAAGTCGTCACGAACATATCAGACAAAATAAATTACACGGTCTAGTGAACGTTCGCTGAAATAGAAGTAGCATAGGAGTTAAGGTATGAGCCACACTATTCCTATTTCTAGAAAGTATCGGCCAACCATCTTCCTAGCAAAGGCAGCAAAAACCATATCAGCAACATCTCGGAGCACCCCACCATCTCCAGTACATCCCTCAAGTGCACGCACAACCACATCACACCTCAGCTGCAGCCCTTCTTGATTACCACCCTGCCCGTCTGACGCAGAACGAAAGTAAAAGATATACTAGCGTAATTCTTGAAAATAAGAAAACTGGAATTCTTCAAGAAAGAAACTTGTATGCAATTAACAATGATGCCGGAAACGTTCAAAAGCCTTTAAATAAGCGTTACAGGAAACCCTAAAAACATAGAATAGTAAAACGTTCCAAAAATAGTGAAAATTCAAAACGGAAATATGGAAATTAATTATTCGGAGGCCTAAACGAAGGAATTTGGCTAAAATCCCGAGATCTAGGGTATACCTTGAGTCCAATTTTTCAGGCCGCAATCAACCAACCAAATTTCAGCCTATTCCGACACCGTCGCGACAAATGACGAAATTGCCCTTGCGCACGGTCTTTTTTCGTCAATTTTCTGTCCAACACTTCTTCAAACTCCAAAGCTAGTTGTCCTACATCAGTCTCCCCCACCAGTGAAGAACTTGACCCCGAGTTATATTCCGAATAGAGTGGAACATCATCACAAAACTCATATAGATCAGCCACATTGAAGGTGCGAGAGATGTTCATATCAGCAGGCAAGTCGACCACGTAGACATTGTCATTGATCTTCTTGAATACCTTGTATGGACCATATTTTCTTAGCTTCAACTTGTTATAGGACCCCATAGAAAACCTTTCTTTATGTAGAAACACTATCACCTGATCACCTTCCACAAATAATTTCTCACGCCTCTTGACATCAACAGCAGCCTTATACTTTGCATTTTTCCCCTCCGACCAAGCTTTCACTTCTGCCTGAACATCACGAGCTTGTTCTGCTATGTTCTCAGCAGCCATACTGGTTCCAGAAACTTTGGGAAGATGGGCTAAGTCTAAAGCATGTTTATGCGGCTTCAAATATACCAAAGAGAAAGGAGATTTACCAGTAGCAATGTGAACTGCATTGTTGTATGCGAACTCAGCTTGCGCTAGTGCCACATCCCACTGCTTTGGCTTATCTCCACAGATGTTGCATATCAAATTTCCTAGTGTTCGATTCAGATTTTCAGTCTGTCCGTCGGTTTGTGGGTGTGCTGTGCTACTGAACTTGAGAGCAGTGTCCATCCGACGCCACAATGTAACCCACAACTGATTGAGAAACTTCGAATCTCTGTCGGAAGTGATGGATTGAGGGACTCCATGTAGACGAACCACTTCATGAAAAAACAGTTGGGCAACATGAGACGTATCAGAGGTTTTCCGGCAAGGGATAAAATGCCTCATTTTAGAAAACCTGTCAACCACCACAAACACAGAGTCTACCCTACGTTGAGTTCGCGGAAGCCCCAAAACAAAATCCATAGACTGATCTTTCCATATGCCATTCGGTACAGGTAGAGGCATGTAGAGACCCGTATTCTGCGCTTGCCCTTTAGAAGTCTGACATGCAAAACACTTGCGAACAAAATTACCTACTTCGCGTTTCAACTGATGCCAGTAATACCGCTAGCTACTCCATTGATAGTCTTGTTACGCCCCAGGTGATCGCTCAAACCACCACCATGTAACTCCCTAATCAGTTTTTCCCTCAAAGAACTCCTTGGAATGCATAACTAATTGCCATGGAACATGTAATCATCAACCAAATGGAATTCCCCTTCTGTTTGTTTCAGAACACACTTACGCTACACATCGGCGAAATCTTCATCATCAGTATATAGTTCTTTCAGAAAATCAAATCCGATAACCTGTTGTTGCATTGTTACCAGCAAACTTGCACGTCGACTTAAGGCATCTGCTACTTTATTCGGAACCCCAGATTTGTGTTTCAAAACAAATGGAAACTTCTGCAAATAGGCTGACCACCGAGCATGCATATTGCTTAAACTCCGCCGAGTATTCAGATATTTTAATGCTTGATGGTCAGTGTACATGATGAATTCCCTCTGAATCAGATAGTGTTCCCAATGTTTTAGAGCATGAACAATGGCATAAAATTCCTAATCATAAGTACTCCATTTTCGACGGGCATCACTTAGTTTTTCACTGAAAAAGGCCACTGGCTTCTTCTCCTGTGACAAAACTGCTCCAATCCCAATTCCACTAACATCGCACTCCACTTTGAATAATTTATCAAAACTAGGTAAGGCAAGGATAGGAGTAGTGCACAACTTTTCTTTAATCACCGCGAAAGCCGTGTCAGCTGCTTCTCCCCAATGGAATTTTTCTTTCTTTAGACACTCGGTTATAGGTGCTACAATGCTGCTGAAATCTCTAATAAACCGACGGTAAAACATCGCCAACCCATGGAAACTCCTCACCTCTCCTACTGTCTTCGGTGTAGGCCACTCAAGAACGGCTTTCACCTTCTCTTCATCAACCAATATCCTCTCTAAACTGACTATATATCCCAAGAATAACAATCAATCCGTCGGTCAAATGCACTTCTTAAAGTTAATAAACAGTTTATACTCAGACAACACCTCCAACACAGCCTGAAGAT